AAGTCAAAACTAAAAATTATAGTTTTTTCTATGATTTTTAGTGGTTTATGTTATAAATCACAATAATGAAACCAAAATTCAGGAGTGATAATCAAGACAAGTGACATCCGTCAATTGAATTAATCAAAACATGAGTATTTAAGACTTTTTTTTAGAATACATTTCGAAATAGTTTTCTCCAAGCTAGGATCAGGAACTAATCAGATTTATCAGGACTATGACCGAGACCAATGAAAAAAATTTATCGAGATCAAACTGAAATCAGTATTACAAAAACCTTGGACTCGTACATCTCTAATCTTAGCACATTATTTTATCGACAAAACACCACTGTATAAATTTCAAACGAAGAATGAAGAATTGAAGCATTACTATTTGACAAAACCAATTCCCTTGTGTATGTATACAACACACAACGTCAACCAAGAATCTCAAATGTCTTTTTGCTACATTTAAAATAAATTAATTTTTAAAAAGAATATATTTTCAGAACAATAATATATAACGCAAAAAAAGAACTATTACCCAGATCAAGAAATACGAGCCGTTTCTAGTGTGGACACTCAGGAAAATGGTAGGCAAATTCGAATGCTTTAAATAAAAGATCCCTCTGATTTCAACAGATGTCGTTGTCTATCATATAAACTTTTTCTTCTAAAAAACCTTAAAGACTTAAATTTCTTTTGGTATTTTACATCAAAAATTTATTTCAAATTGTTGAATAGATAATTCTTTTTATTTTTATTGAAACTTTATTATAAAGGTATACTTCGTATTATTCATTGGTTCAATCGTTTATTTATTTTATTCAAACATCAAAAACAAAAAAACTAATCATTTTATTTTGTATGTTTATTTCAAATTTGTAACAATGACAACAACAACATCAAGTGGAAGACCTGGATGTTTTCGTGCTTATTCAGGTGAACAAAAAACTTTACGTGCTAAACTTGATCAATTACTTAAATGGACACGTGATTTAAAAAGTAATATTATGAAACAATCATGTAAAGCATTACAAGCAAATAATAATAAGAATAATATTATTAATCGTCAAACAATTGATCAAATTCATGATGATTTAGATGATTATAAACGAAAATTTGATCGTGAACTTGGTCGTATACATGATATCTGTGATGCATTAGCAAATAATTCAACAATAAATAATAATACAGAAAATCTTCATGATGAAATTCTTGAAGCATTACGTCGTTCACCAACATATTCATCACTTGAACAACATATTGATGATGACAAACGACCACGAATTCGTGTAAAACCACGTGAAAGAATTCATCCAGGAAAAAAGCAAGGATCACGTACACCAGCTCTATCAACTGATACAATAAAACGTAAAGCATCACAACCAATAGCTTTGCAATTATTAAATACTTCAATTATGCCTGGTACTAAACGACGACCACAAATTGATGCATTTAAACGTTCAAGATCATTTACAAATATTGAACATACTGAAACACAATTAGGTATGGATTATGTTGAAGAAGATGAAAGTGATCTTTCATGGAAACCATTTGGACCAAAACGAACAATTTCACAAGTTAGTTTAACATCAACTAATAATGACCAATCAAATGATGAACAACCATCTACAAAGTAAAATTTTATTTTATTTTTTTTTTTTTTGCAAATCAAAACTAATAAATAAAATTTTTAGTTCAAGTACAATAAATCAATCAGTAGCAGGAACATCTACAGAAAAATCTAAACCATCTGTATCTTTTGATGATAATAATAATAATTCATCAGATGAAGAATTTGATATTGCATGGGAACGTCGTGCAAAACAAAAAGCTCGAAAAGAACCACCTGCAGCACCAACATCATCCATTGTATCACCAGCAAAACGTACTGTTCGCTTTTCACCTTCTACATACGAACCAGTTGAACTTATTGAAATTGATCTTGATGAAACAACACAAGATGGTTTACAACAAACCAAAGATCAAAATAATAATAATAATAATAATAATGAAAAACAACAAACTGAAATTGTTAATTTAGATGATGATGATGATGATGATAATGAAACAACAATGCCAGCAATAGATACACAAAGCCAATTAGCCACAGTAAGAAATATCCGCTTCGATTCATTAAAATACATTTGTATATCGCTCTCACCAGAGAACGTTTGCAACTAATCAATCACTTTCTCATCAAAAGCTAATCAATTATAGGTTATCTCCCATGATGGTTTTCTAGACTAACAAATATGTTGCTAAAATCGTTTTAGATCTACTTAGATTATAGAGCGTATTCAGTTGTCTATGAGTCAATAATCTTGTCTGCTTTTCTAAAAATGATTTTTAAGTAAAATAATATCAGATTGAAATGTCGATGTGAGTCTGTTGTATATGAATTAAAAGAGCTCTATTTTCGAGACAAATTGATACGCTGTATAATTTGTTTGGAGAGATCAAAAAAATCAATTTACCGAAAAGTCTATTCGTCTGGAAAACTAGCATATAAAGGCCTAAGGACATTGAATCAGCATAGTTCATAACCTTCAATTTACTAGTTTTCGATGAGAAAATGTTCCTTCGTCAGATAATTTTCAGGTGTTAACTAAGAAAATAAAAAGTTGTTAGTGCAATCCTTGTAGGAATAAAATGTGAAAGAGGATATAGCTGTTGTTGCTTATCACAAAGATTATTTTATTCAATCTATTTTGGGACACATTTCTTCACTATACTTTTATTTTATCCTGTAGAAATGCAATAAGTAGTCAATATATATTATAACGAAATGTTATTCATATATGATCTGTGATGTTTTCATGGTAATATCTGCGTGGGGTGCTAATCTCTACCACACACACTTCAACACTCCTTTTAGATCGTATTTTACAAAAGAAGAAACCAAAAGACAGAGATATTTTAATAGTTTATTACAGTATTTTTGATAACACACCTTGTACAACTTAAACTATTATCTATTTAATTGCTTTTGTTTTAAATAATATTAGAATAGAAGCAGCCATTGATTATATAGATTCTAATGAGTTATTATGATCAAACTTAACGCAAAAGTTTTTCGTTCAGTTTTAAATTTACATGTTTTTGTTTGATAGATAAAAAATAAATTCTTTGTCCTATCGTTGAGAAATTATGAATGTTTCCGAAAAGTATAAAAATCGTGTCGATGATTTCAAGTCGTACAAGAATCAAACAACATTGAGATAATCCTCTACAATTGTATTACATGGGGTTTTTATAAACATGCATACTGAAGAAAAAAAAAACACTTTTTCTAAAACAGTCTATCATGTATCGCTAAGTATGATAAATGAATATAATATTCGAACATGAAAATCCACACTCATCCTATTATAGTCGAGAAAACTATTTCGAGTAATATTTCACATTGGCGTTTCAGTGAAATTTAACAATTAGATCTGTAATATTCGACTACTTCGAATATCGGAACGTAAATTGAACTTATAGAGTTTCGAGTTAGAATTATTTAAATGACAATTTAATTAATTGCGATTGAAAAATAGTGAACTTCAAGTCCGAAGTCTCCGCTGTTTCATGCTCGATATATTTTATTTTTCTAGACTTCAGCTGCATCATCATCATCTCAACAAGCAAATAATCAAGATGATAATAGTCAAATAATTGATGATAGTGATGATGAAATAATTTCTCTAAGTGATGATGAAATTCCTATAAGACCGAAAACTTCATCGAAACAATGTCTTTGGACTTCATCTGAAATTCAAATAACAAGTGGAAATTCTCAATCACAATCATTACATAATCCATATCGTGTTGGTATTGCTGATCCAAGTTTACGATCAATATTTTTACCACCACCAAATTCTCAAACAATGTCAACATCAAATAGTGGAAATAGGCGAGCTCAAGGTAGTAATCGAAAAACTTCACCAACAAAACGAACAACTAATTCCAAATAATAATAATAATAATAATTATTATTTTTTTGTTCAGATATTTTAAAAATTTTCTTTCTTCTTTTTTTTTGTAACAGAGATAATTTTCTCAGGTTAATTAACTTTTTGCTTTTTTTTTCTTGTTTTGTTTTTGATAAATACAATAGTTTACGAGTTAGTTTGTAGTATAAAAATAAATAATAATAATTTATTATGAATTATTGAATTTTATGATGTACTTAAAATTGAATAATATCATATTTTAGTCTTTCTTGCTAACATTCTGTTTTATATATAAATAAAGAATACAATAGATGTTTATTTCTGTTGTTTAAATCTTGTTGTATGAAACAGATATTAGTCCACTCGAGATAAACACTGTGTTTAAGTCCTCAG